ATTGACTTCCTGCCTGCCTACTCCCTCTACGACTACCTCAGGTGGGTAGGGTACATGGTTGGGATCAGAACCCTAGGCGAGTGAGTCCCTGCTCCTTTCTGGGCCTCAGTGTTCTCTGTAGAATGGGGTTTGTATTAGGGCCGGGGTCACACTTTCTCTCTGGGCTGCCATAGGAGAGGCGGCGGGGGTGGGGACGCGCTGCTTCCCACAGCAGTTCCACTCATGTCTGTCTGCTAGTGGGCGTCAGGGTGAGCTAGCTTTTAAGAGTCGGGCCCCTGGCTAACGAAAGCAGGAGAATCACTGGTCCATGCTGGAGGCAGAGCCATCCCTCCTTCACGGTGCTGCCTCCTCAGGGCCTCCATTGAGCAGCTGGAGCTGGGCAGCAGACGGAAGGCAGCCCTGGTGGTGCCAGCATTCGAGACCCTGCACTACCAGTTCAGCTTCCCCACTTCCAAGGCTGAACTGCTGGCCTTGCTAGACGCTGGCTCTGTCTACACCTTCAGGTAGAAGAGGACACTGCCTGTCCCCATTGCCCACACCAGCCCCCACCACCCACAAGCTCCTAGCCTCAGCCTGGCTCCTTGTCCTGTCCCCCTTCACAGGTACCACGAGTGGCCCCGGGGTCACGCGCCCACAGACTGTGCCCGCTGGCGGGAGGCTCAGGCCCCATACCGTGTGCAATGGGCTGTGGACTATGAGCCCTATGTGGTGGTACCCCGTGACTGTCCCCGCTATGACCCCCGCTTTGTGGGCTTTGGTTGGAACAAGGTGGCCCACATCATGGAGCTGGATGCACAGGTGAGGGGGATCCTTAATGTCTCCAGCTGCAGTTTAAATACCTCTAGGCCCGGGGAGCTCACCATGTCTCAGCATGGCACACTGCCCCATTAGGCAGCACTACAGGAAGTCCCACCCTTCTGTAGAACTACAATTATCCGCCCTTTGGCCTGGCTTTGGCTCTTAGAGGCTCTTGGGTAAGCCTGCTCCCCATCCCCCAGCCTAGGCACTGACCATTGCTCTGCCCTACCCTTGCAGGAATACGAGTTCCTGGTGCTGCCAGAGGCCTTCACCATCCACCTGCCACACACCCCAAGTCTCGACATCTCCCGCTTCCGCTCCAGCACCACCTATCGAGACTGCCTGCAGGCCCTTAAGGATGAGTTCCTCCAGGACTTGTCCCGCCACTATGGGGCTGCTGCCCTCAAATACCTCACTGCCCTGCAGCAGCCTGAGGCCCCCTGACCTCCCAAGGCTGGGCCTGTGTGGCTCTCCGCTGCCCCTGGCCTTGGCTCTCACTCACTCCGTTATTTAAATTATTTAAGGTCTGTGGGAAGGGCCGCAGTGGAGCATCTGGGGTGGGGCCTGGGGCCTCCCTTTGTTCGGTCACTGGGGTCTATTCTCCCTCTGCCCCAGCTGGTTTGGGGCTGGTTCCCCCCTCCTCAACTGTACACCTCTTTTTCATAATTAATGTTTTAAAAGCTCTGTTTTATGTTCTTCTTGGTTTGGGGCATGAGGGCATCCATGAGCCCAGGGAGTGCCTGGGAGGTCCCGAGTCTTGGCCGGAGTCATAGGAGGCTGTTCGGTCGCTGGGGTCTATTCTCCCTCTGCCCCAGCTGGTTTGGGGCTGGTTCCCCCCTCCTCAACTGTACACCTCTTTTTCATAATTAATGTTTTAAAAGCTCTGTTTTATGTTCTTCTTGGTTTGGGGCATGAGGGCATCCATGAGCCCAGGGAGTGCCTGGGAGGTCCCGAGTCTTGGCCGGAGTCATAGGAGGACCTGGCCTCCCCCAGAGGCTGTGACTGGAGTGTGTGTTGCCCTCCCTCCCTGGCCCCAAACCCAACACCATGAGGCTGAGAGACTTTATTTGGCTTTATTTAGTAAAATGTTAAAATAAATAAATACAAATTGATCAGCTGCTCTGAATCCCCCCCACCCCCTCAAAACAAAAATCAAACAAACAAAAACTTTGAAGCACAAAACTCCAAATACAAGTTCTACCAAGACTGAGATCACAAAGGGTGTGGACAAAGACAGGTGGGGGCTGGCTCTTCTGCTCAGAGCGTGCTGACCTCTGGCTGCCTGTTCTGTCCTCCTGGCTGCAGCTTACCCTGGGCTGAGACCCAACGACACTGGGAGGGCAGGGGCCAAAGGCTGCGGTGCGGGACAGGGTGTCCTCGGGGTTCAAGAGGGCCTTGTGGAAAGGGCGAGCCCATGGGATTGGTGAACCCTGCTCTCCCTTGAAAAGGGCTGTTTTTAAGAGTTCCGCCCCAGTTCCAGGCAGGGTGTAACTCCCAGCTTCCTCCCCTTCACATTTGTGGGAGGGTCAGTTGTCTTCTCAGCCACCCTCCCTGCTTGGCCAGGCGCTGACACTGAGGATGGCTGTGAGTCAGGGTGAGAATGGGCCTCCTGTTTCCTGCCAACGGTGCCCAGCTGAGGGGTGGGGTGAGGCCCAGTCATGTCCACAGAGCACAGCTGCCTCTGTCCAACAGAGGCCATGGAATCGAGAACCCAGGGCCTGGAAAATGCTCCTGGGCCACCATCCATCTTACCACCCCAAGAGCCTTTTGCCCCTGGAGTGAAAGTCTCCTATGAAGCCCTTGGGAAAATAAGAAGACCACACCCTGAGAGGCAGTGAAGGGAGGAAACCACTTAGGGTGTGTTGTGTGAGTTGGGAGCGCGAGCCCAAGGAAGCTCTGCTGGCCCCAGAGAGGAAGAATAGGAGATGGCAGAGAGGCAAGTGCACTCAGACAGGTGAGCAGAAACGGTCCTCCTCATGGGAGAGGCGTGGGGGAAGCAACTGCACCCATTCATGCCACCTGCTGAGCCAAGCAGCAGCAGGGACCGGAGAGGCAGTTCCTGGAGGGAAACCGGGCATTCAGATGCTGCTGGCTGGAGGCTGCCATGGCCATTTGCAGGCCCCACATGGGCCTCCCTGTCAGGCACAACCAGCAGGTTTGCCCCAAGGGCCTAAGGAAGGAAGAAAGCAGAACTCCGGATGAGCTCAGCAGAGGGGAGACAAGACCGGGCAGGCTCCATGAAAGAAAAAGGACCTGCAGGCCACATTGGCAAGAAAGTGAGCTAAGCGGGAAGATGACAGCAACATGACCTCACTGCCTCCAGGACACAGCGCCGAACCACAGGACTGACAATGGGCCCCATGACCAAGGGCCAGGTGGGCAGCTACCTGGTCCCAGACCAGCGGGTCCCTGGCCTCTAAAGTGACTACAAAGCCAGCTGGTCTCAGAAGTATCCAGCAGCTCAGGTGTGGGGAACGAAGGGGAGGAGGGAGGAGGAGGTGGAGCCGTTCGGGTGGGGCAGTCCTGAGTGCCTGTCTCAGGTGGTCACAGGCACCCACAGGCCTGGGGGACAGAGAGGAAGGGGAGACTGGGTGACTAGGGCGTTTTCTTTGCAGTAAGGGGTGTCTTAACATTTGAGTCCAGAATGGGGGCTTGGGCAGGGTTGCGTTTTTGTACTCTATACTGGCGGACTCCCCACATGGCTCACATCTGAACCTCAGGAAGAATCTACACCCCGACCCGAGGCACAGTCAGTGGGACTGCTCACAGCAGCAGGCAAAGCACCCGCCAATTCCCAGTCCTGCCCCCACCCAATCCCCAGGCAGCTCCTTCCTGAGCGAGGCCTCTGTGATGATGGTTTCCCAGCTTCTGGGCCCAGACAAGTCGAATGGGAGGGCCCCAATTGGGGC